ATTCGTGTAATTTGGCGCTGTAGTGTATAGAAATCAAATCAAGTGATTGTGGATTACTAGGCTGGAACCTGGAATATGATGTAGAGAAATATTTTTCGAAGTCTTTCGTTTCTTAGTCCTTATAATTCTGCCTGGAAACTGGATGACCATAACCTTTTTTTTAATGTAGATTCTTATTAGTCTGATCAGCTTGTTTGAGAATTTTTACGCACAAACACATATGCATATAAGCAAAAAATTCTCCACAGTTTTCAAAATCAGGATTTGTTTTGGGATATAGTGATGTTAGGTCAATGTTTACACATATAATTGATGATCTGGGAATAGGCCCTTTTATTGAAATCATTTGATTCTTGATTGGGCTTTTGTTTTTCAATTTTTATGTTTTCTTGATTTTTCAATTCTTCTAACACATTTTTTGACCATGGAAATTGATTTTGCTGCTATGTTCCAATTATCTTTCTGGATCTTTTAGCAATCTTTCTTTTGCTAATTGAATGTCTGTAATACAGGGATGAAATCATCTCCTGACTTTTACTTTCAGTGCTTGTTAGTTTGGTGCTTGAAATGAAGGGTTTATTGTGGGATCTACTTTGTTTAAACTTGTAATTATTGAGCATGTCGTCCTTATCTTGTTAGTTATTTCTCTTTGCTTAGTGATGGCATATTTGGAAAAGAACTGTCATTTTTTTTTCGAAAGAGTACTGTACCTTCTGTTGTAGCTGAATGGCATTTCTGAATTCGAAGTTGTCAGTGTTCTCATCACCACCATTGCATATTCCTAATAAGATCTCTATTCTCTGTAGGTCTGAGCATTCTGGTACTTAGTCCCCCCAGTAAAGTTAAGGTTCATGTCTGATCTCGACACTCAGATTCCTACTACCTTTGGTAAGATATTACCAGCAATTGGAGTATTAATTCTAATATCACAAATTTATACACGTTAATCGAGATGGATCAGTGTATTTTAAGTGTATTGCTTGCATCTCACTTCAGATGATTTTCAACTTATTTCACATATGGGAATTGCAGATGTTCATTTTGAGTTCTGTGCATTCTCAGAAGTCATAGTATTTCAGCTATCATGCATTTTTTTTTTTTTGTGCTTCCCAATATCTGCGTGTAGCCGATTGCAACAGTGTTAGTAGTTATCTGCTTTTGGGGGAGTTAACTGATGTGCTGTTTCTTCTTCAATTGTGCTAGATCCTTTTGCTGATGCAAATGCTGAGGACTCGGGTGCTGGGGCAAAGGAGTATGTTCACATCCGTATTCAGCAGCGAAATGGTAGAAAAAGCCTGACAACTGTTCAGGGGCTGAAGAAAGAATTCAGCTACAACAAGATCCTTAAGGACCTCAAGAAGGAATTCTGCTGCAATGGCACCGTGGTTCAGGACCCCGAATTAGGACAGGTTTGTTTATTCCCTAATAAATTCCTCCGATCATCTGTTTCTATATTGGTTCTGATAGATTCTTGCTGATACAGGTCATTCAGCTTCAAGGAGATCAACGGAAGAACGTTTCCACCTTCCTTGTTCAGGTAATTGTCATTTGTTTGCTGAGAAGGCTGCATTATCTTCTTATCCAGTTCCATTATCATGGTGTGTGTTAAATCGAGTTGGCTGCTTTATGGATTTTTTTGGGGTTCTTGTTGAACAGGCTGGTATTGTGAAGAAGGAAAACATCAAAATCCATGGTTTCTGAGCCACAGCAGCTCTAAGATTCTGCAGGGTGCATGCTTGTTCTTCATTAGTGCGGAACATACCACCTGAATTACAATATAACTATCTGTGCTGTTCTGTTGTCTAAATTGGATTGATGATCATGTATGCAACTAAATAGTTGTCGGGTCCTGATGTTTTTGGTTTCTTATGATATATGTGTAGTGTTTCTGCTATTTGTGTAGTTTGCCAGTTTCTTTAATGTGGGAGTGTTATGGGATGTATGCGAGTATGCTTTTCTGTCCCGAATAATTATAGTTACTGGATTCATAATGGTAGATTTATGAAAGACTTATGTCCCTTTGTCTCTTTCGATCGATTGGTCTTCTGTTGCATATTCTAACTAGTTAATAATTAGTTGAAGTTAGCATTAGAATTTTGGTTAACAATTAGTTGAAGATAATCTCTGGTTAGCATTAAGAATTTGAGAAGATATAGAAGACCAAAAAAACTGATAATGGGTGTATGTAACTCTCATATTAGCGTTTGATTGTTTCTTTAGGTTATCTACAAGTGAAGTGGTGCTGGAGACGCGTGTAAGTTTAAGAATTTTTTTTAGAAACTCTATTTGGTAGTATGGAGGTCGATTGTGTTTTTAGGAAATAAAAAAGAGGTAAACACTCAAGAATGGTCTGCTATGGCTGGCCAGAATTTCCAGCCAATAGATAGATATGTATATAATATATATATACACACACCCACCCCGCCCATAAGAAATGTACATACATTGGATCACTACTTGATTAACCTCGTTATTGAAAATGTTCAAATAACTCCATATTTCATTTTGGAGTTTATTTTTTCCTGGTTCAAACTAATTTTTGTAGTTCTAAAGATGACTGAAGTATCAGCACTTTTAGTCAGTTAGACAGGACTATAATGTTGCATTGTTACTAGATGTATCGTGCAATTTTTTTAATAGAATAATATGTAATTTTGCAAGGAATGAAAAAAAAAATGTATTATCTTCTGTCCACTTCATATCATTTTTCACTTGTTGATGTGAATGAGTGAGCCTGCATAAAACGTTATAGGAACAGAATAGGAGGGAGTGTTGACAATTGATGACGGCACCCGTCATAGGGATAGGAAAGTGAAGCTTGTACTATCGATGCTAGGACATACGAGGGACCATCGAGACATCGATAGTGGGTTTGCGACTCCGTATAAGAGTACTGTTGTATATGATGGAGGGATAATCACCTCGGTAGTCCTTCTGAATCGGGATTGGGTTTAAGTTGCATCTATCACAAAATTTATGCACAAAAACCTCATATTTGTTGCTGTGAGAAATACTCTACCAATTTGGAATTGCAACATGCAAATGTGATATTTCCAACTTACTCCTTTATTTCATTGATCTCTAATAATCTCATCATGGTCAGAAATCAGTGTAGTTTTGAAATGTCGAGAATGTCGTGGCAAGTGATGGACCCTATATCAATAAATAGTACAATGTATTAAGTTCGAACTTTATATAGACTCAATAAGTTGCTTAAAATTATTAAAAAATAAAGAAATTATACTTTCAAGTCTTAAAAATTAAAAAAAAAAAAAAAACAAAAAGTAAAATTAAACGGGACCAAAAAAGTTTTTAAAAAAATTAAAACCGATAAAACAAATAAAATTTAAAAGATGTAGTTGCAGAGACCATTAATGCGCTGTTTGGATTAATTTTATAGTGGATAATTAATGTACATTAATGTACATTAATGTATGGTAATAGCATAAAATGGTAATGCTAAAGTCATAGTATATTTGGAAAAACTGTGTATTAATTTTTGATAATGATAGTTGTTTTGTTTATATTGATAAGATGATATTGTTAAATACTCAATCAAATTATTAATTTATTCATAACTTATTGTATGTAATTGTAATATTAGGGTCTGGAAATTTAGCTTGAGATGATTTTCTATTTATAAAAAATATATAAATAATCAAAAATATTAATTTAATTTAATTTTATTTAAATTATTAAGAAAAAATGAATTGTGAACGAAATTGAAAATAATTATAGAAAAAATGGTTAAATTATGAATGAATAGGGTGTTTTTGAAAGAAAATTGAAACATGAGGGTAATATTAAAAAAAGTAAAAGTTTGTCCACGTGGAACAACCCAGTCAGCAACCATAGAGAACTAGAGCACGCTGCGTGGCAAACACACTGACATTGGCACCATGCAGGAGGCCACGCAGGTGATCTGCGTGCCGGGCAATCCAACTGTCCATATCACATCCCGCGCGCATGAACGGGCTAGATGCATTTTCTCTTTATATGCAATCAGATGGGTGAGATTAATCGCGATGGACAACCCAGATTCGTCTGTGCAATCAGTCTAAACAGGCAACGATCGGACGACTCTCTTTACTTCACGTCGACGCGGATGGACGACCAGGATAAAAGGAAATAGTGGTATTTAAACTTTTCTTCAGTCGGCCCCAAACCCTAGCCGACGCCCATCTGGAGAAGAAGAAGAAGGAGGCGGCCAGAGGGAAGACCAGCCGCCAAAGGGACGCCACCACCGCCACATTGAAGCCATCGTCGACTGCCGAAAAAGGAAAAATTTTCTCATTTCTGATCAAAATTCGATCAGGAGTCTCCATATGCCCAAATCGGAGCCAAATGGTCAACAGGTGAGCTAGAAATCGCGGGTCAAGCTCGGCTGAGCTGACGCGGCCAAAACCCAAAACCCTCTCCAATGATCCTGCTCTCGTTTTCTGTTTCATTTTATTTTTTGACCACTGTGTCCATCATCCTTTTTTTGGTGCAAGTTAGCCAAAGAAGAACCCTAGTCGCGAAGGAGAATTGGCAGAACCGCCGCACCCAAGGACCCCCTACCGATAAGTTTCAGTTTTTTTACCTTTTCCAGCCAACCGAGGCTTCCTAACTTGCTTTTTCACAGGTTTACGCGTAAAACCAGCCAAAATCAATCAAAATTGGTCAGGTCAAGGCGAACTGTTGTGGGCAGCAGCGACGCCATATCGAAACCCTAAAATTTGCCAAAAGAGTTTTTAAAACGCCTATTTTAGCTTTTCTGGGTATTTTTTTATGCCTGACGGACGTTTGAATTTTTACAGGAAAAATTCAAGAAACCTGAGGACTGCCAAGAGACGCAGTAGACAGTACAGTATTTCGAACACTGATATGGAGTAAGAATCTCTCACCTTATTCTCTGTTACGTAAATTGAAGATTAATAATCGATAATACTTTATTTTATAAAAATTAAAAAATCATAAGAATAATAACATGTGGCTAATGGAGTCGGAACCGGTCAGTTTATATTTGTTTTGGTTTACTGTTTATTTTTCACGTACTGCTTAAAATGCTTATCATTACATTGTGTGAATTAAATTGATAAACCTAATTGCTCTCTCAGTTATTTAGTTTACCTCACTACATATTCTTCATTTGTTGGTTCATTTTGCAATAAATATTTCAATTATGTCTCGTGATGTACGTATCGCCTATATGCATGATTTACTATTGATTTGTAAAAATAATTATTGGTATGTAACTGGGAATCAGTTTATGCTTTGAATCTATGTAAGAAAGACTTACTGGGTATCCTGGGAAAAGGTGGACGAACTCAGTACATAGAGAATCCTACTGTGGACATTACCTCAGTCGAACAGGACTGAAAAGTCTCATACCAGAAGGATTTGGGAGATATGGTTTGCCGTCACACCGGACGGGGTATCGAGGCGATGGTATATTTGGCGCCCATTACGGGACGAGATATGGGGATAGACGGGTTAATTGACAAATCTATATATTGGGTTCACGAGTAAAGGAATATCCATATGAACCCCCAGAGGTTCCAGTAAGCAGGTAAAAAAGAGAATTGTCGTTCTTGCTCACTTTTATATAAAATCATAATGTTATATGAGTATTTGTCTTTATAGGTTGATTTTGAAAAACTTGTAACGGTAAATATAGAATAAACGGTTTGATATTAACTGAATTTACTTTAATTAAGGGTTCAATTAGTTGTTTTATGATTTTTACCAACATTCGATTTCTGTATTAGTGATTAGCGTGATATTCTTATTAGGTTAGTGTAGTTCACCCTTTTATTAACCATTTCATATCAAGAAGACTAAAATCCAAATCCTGATCAGCATGAGGGTTGTGAGTAGATTACCTTCCAGACCCCATCAGGTGCTAGTGGAAATTAACCACATAGGACATTTATTTATTTATTTTAATTATTTATTCGTTTCTTTTTACGAACCGCTGTAAAAGGAACATTCTCGTATCCCTATTGCACATCTATAATTACTGTGTAAGGAATATAAACTCTAATATTATTATTTACTTTCGCTATTTTAATATATATTCCTTTCCGTATGGTTCGAGTCGTTACAGTTGGTATCAGAGCCACATTCCATTAACCATTCCTTAGCAAAGATTTGAATCATTCAAATATAACTCAACTCTTAACCCTTCGTTATGAACAATAAATACTAGGACATGAGGAGAGGATAGCCCCCACTAAATAGGGCAGCCCGAAATGGGTCACTTCGAGTGGATGTCAATCGGCTCTTCGAGATGTTATAGAGACTCATCTCTGTCTATCAGACTAGGGAAGAGAGGAGGGAGCTGTCTAACCCTTTACCACTTCCACAGTATGAGCCACCCTTATAACGAGAGGATCTAGTGCCACCTTGATGCAACCTTGCTCCTCCACCGTATCATCTAGCATCACCACAGTACAATTCGATACCCCACTGTAAAACCAGATGCCACCACAGGGTCACTTGTCCCCTCCTCAACATAATCTAATTCCTCTTCAATATGACACATTAGGACTTGTCAGCATTGCGATAAGGATCATGGGGACTGATTCTGTTATCGCCTCAACAATACTTGCCGCATATGTGGGAGTGTCCAATACTACGCAAGAGAGTGTCTGCAAAATTAAAATCATGTCAGACCTCCCATCCAGGGTAGAGCTTACACTCTCACCCAACAGGATGCTAAAGTCAACTTGGACGTGATACAAGGCAAGGCTAAGAAAGAACTCTGCATGCAAGAGATTCCTGTGGTCTGAGAATTTTTGAATGTATTTTCTGATGAACTACCCAGACTGCCAATAAATGGAAAAGTCAAATTTACCATAAATCTTCAACCTAGCACCCAGCCAATCTTAGTTGCCCTTTACCGCATGAGTCAGGTAGAGATGGAAGACATGAGGAAATAAATCGAATAATTATAGGATAGTGGATTCATCCAACACAATATATCTTCTTGAGGTGCTGGAGTCACATTTACAAGGAAGGGGGATAGGTCTCTTAGGTTGTGTATTAACTATAGGGGATTGAACATGGTCACAATGAAGAATAAGTTCTCCCTCACCTAGATTGATGATCTTTTTGATCAGTTACAGGGTGCTTAGGTTTTTTCCAAAATAGACTTGCGTTCGGGTTACCATCAAGTAAAGAGCAGGGCAAAGGACATTCCTGAGATAGCCTTCAGAATCAGGTATGGACATTATGAGTTCGTGGTCATGTCATTTGGGTTAATCAATGCGTCAGCCATTTTTATGGACTTGAATAATAGGATTTTTAGGTAATTCCTGGATCAGTTCGTCATTATATTCATTGATGATATCCTGGTATATTCAAAGAGTAGAGATGAACATGTTCATCGTCAGACTAAAGTTTTGCAAGTTCTAAGGAAAAAGAAGTCGTATGTAAAATTGAGCAAGTGTGGGTTCTGAATTGAGTAGACTACCTTGCTATGGCACATAATATCAAAGGATGGGGTGTTAGTGAATCCCGAGAAGGTTGAGGCAGTACTCGATTGGGAAAAATTGACTTCACTTAAAGAGATACATAGCTTCCTAGGAATGATAGGATATTACCACAGGTTCGTAGAAGGGTTTTCTAGCCTAGCCGCTCCATTGACCTAGCTTACAAAGAAGAACATCAAGTTTGAGTAAAACGAGGATTGCGAAAGGAGTTTTACAGAACTCAAGAAGTTGTTGGCTACTGCACCCGTGTTGGCTCTATCGAATGGGACAGGTGGATACACAATGTGTAGTGATGCTTCCTACTTGGGTATAAATTGTGTTCAGATGTAGTATGGGAAGGTTATAACCTATAGGTCCAGGTAGTTGAAGAGTCATGAGAAGAATTACCCCACCCACACTTGAAATTTACCGCTATTATCCACGCCCTGAAACCTGGCATCACTGCTTGTATGATGAGACTTTTTGAGATTTATACAGATCATAAGAGCTTGAAACATATATTCACTCAAAAGGATCTCAACATGCGTCAAATGTGTTGGATAGAGCTCTTTGATGACTATGATTATAAGATTTTATATCACCCGGAAAAGGTTAATATGGTAGCCGACGCGCTCAAAAGAAAAAGTGCAAGTATAGTGGCTCGCTTAATGATTTCTGAATGCAGGGTAATAGGGATTGCGCAACAAATACAACTTCAGGACTTGAAGAGGATTACATGTCTAGCTCATCTAACAGTCTAACGCGAACTGATTTAGAAAATAAAGGAAGCCTAATTGACGGATTCCAGTCTAGCAGCTTTTAGGAAGGATACAGAACATTGAGTAAATCCAGAGTTCTGAGTCTTTGCCGATAGGTTGCTCAGGTTCCAAGATAGGTTGTGTGTCCCAAATGACAATGAACTAAAAAGGGACATCATAACAGAGACCCATAGCTGAAAGTTCATCATGCATCCCTAAAGTACTAAGGTTTACCAAAATATGCAACCCTGTTTTTGGTAGAGTGGGATGAAAAGAGAAATTACTAATTTCATCTCCAAGTGCCTTGTATGTCAACAGGTTAAGGCAGAGCATCAACGTTCAGGTGAACTGCTTCAGCCATTGCCGATCCCGGAGTGAAAATGGGAACAATCATCATAGATTTTGTGATAAGGCTATCAAAGGCACGCTCGACATGATGTTATGTGGGTAATTGTTGATTAACTTACCAAGTTTTCTCACTTCTTGGCTATCAAGATGACTGACTACTTAGACAAGTTAGCAATAATCATGGCTTGGCGAATTCCTCTTTTGTGGGAAAATTATTTTCCCTTTTCTTGCTCATTTTCCTATTACACTTGGATTGAGTTGCATTTGGGTTAGTGGGCTTGTTTTCTTCTTCTTTTGGATTTCTTCACTTGATCTAAATTCATCCTACTTATTGATTAATTCTTGAATAAAAAATTAAAAAGTCTTATTGTATGTAGCCTTTTTGCTCTCCATTGTGTAATGAGTTCACTTGACATTGTGATACTTTTTTCAAGTGACCCAAATCCATCCAAGTTGTACAAAATCTCCTTTAGGTCTTCCTTGGTCATTGTCCTCTCCATTGGGGTGAGCTTTGCCGCAGTTTGATTTTTTCTTGGTCGTCCATCTCTTCTTAGTTTTGGGCTTGGCCGCCACCTATCTTCCTTTGGCCGTCCACCTCTTACTTGTCATAGATAAACCAATATCTTAAAAATAACTGGTCATAAATTTTAATCTAATCAAACAAGAATTTATGTTTCTTAATACAACATTTACTTATTACAGTAAAGTTTTATGTTACAAACATTTGATATTTTGTAGTATTATCAATATAATATAAAATTATCCACTCTAACGTTTACTTATTTATTTAATTATAATTAAATAAAAATTTATGTTAAGAATATTTGACATAAAATTGGATTTGTTATATTTTATAGAATTATTAATATAATATAAAATTGTACAATTTAATGTCATTTTTTCCCAAATCAAAAAAACAAACAAGATTCTTTGATTTTATTTTTGCTGTATCGAAAAAGAAAAGAAGACAAGATTACTTTCCTCTTCCATCCTTCTCTGCCATTGCCTTTATCTCGAAGGACCCACACTTTTCATAAATTAACAAATGGTCCCTAAAGTACTTCCAAGATATTTTTTTGGTTACTCCAATGATCTACAAAATGCTTTTAGATATTTATAGTTTCCTAAAAAAAAGAAAAAAAAAAGATGCTTTACATGATGGAAAGTAAAAAAGGAAACCATTAACGTCACTGAGATTTGCAAAATTATAAATCATCATATCAATATTTGTGGTCCAGAATTTTCCAACCAACTTTTTTACATAAAATTTTTGAAAATTAATCAACGATAACACAAGTAAATAAACATAAAGAAATTAATAGTTTCTATCAATAATTTTTATATTTTAAATAAAATTTAAAGTATAAATAACCGTATTACATAAAATAAACATGTTATATTTAATTTTATCTTATATTTTTTTTATATAATATTATTTTAATTTATTTAATTGTATCTCAACCTACTATTTTATTTTATAAATTTTTTCACGTAAATTAATTTCACAAAAAAATTAAAACATTAGAATACATATACACATTTATATAATATCTCATGTAGGTAATGAATTTAATTAATAATTTTTTTTTTTTTTTTTGGCCTTTTGGTTGTAAATTTTTTTGAGTTGATATGTTTAGTAAAAATATAAACTATATAAATATGTATATTTCCGTAACAAAAAGTTAGATTTACTTTTCATGAAAATCAAAAAAGAAAATAAAAATATCACCAAAAGAAAACAAAAGTACACGCTGCACTTCATGCATGCCACTTGCACCAAAACAAGATTACCTTACCGGCAACATTTTTTTCTTTTTTTTTTTTTATAAAAAAATAATAATTTTAATTTTAAATTAAAAAATCAGGAAATTCTAGACCCTTCGTATCCTATCTTTTTGCCACGTGTCCTTCTCCCACCTCACCTACCGTGATATTTAATTTTCCTTTTTATTTTTTTAAAATATCTTTCTGCGCCCACTCACTGTTTCTTGCTCCTCAATAAATGCTCCTCACTCTCTCCGCTGTCTTCTCAACCAAGCCACCCCCAACCAGACCGTAAAACCACTGTCGTTTCGTCTTCTAACATGGCAACCATGGCGTCTTCACTTTCTCTCTCCACCTCCAAGCCTCAAAAGCATTCTCTTTTCAACTCCTGTTTTCATGGCACACCCATTAATACCACTCTTTCTCTTAACTTGAAACCTAAAGCGACTCCGGCCGCCGGTCTCTCCGTCTCCGCTTCGTCTTCTCCGCCGTACGATCTCTGCACCTTTAAATTCGAGCCCATCAGGGAGTCGATCGTGTCTAGGGAGATGACCCGCCGGTACATGATGGACATGATCAGCCATGCAGATACCGATGTCGTCATAGTCGGTGCCGGTTCTGCTGGTCTCTCGTGCGCCTACGAACTTAGCAAGAACCCGTCGGTTCAAGTCGCCATTATCGAGCAGTCTGTTAGTCCCGGCGGTGGTGCCTGGCTCGGTGGCCAACTCTTCTCTGCCATGGTAATGCTCTGCTCAATTCTCCAACTGCTTCAGCAGTTGGGTTCTTTTTTGTCTCTGTGTGTGGATTTTGGATAATGATTTATCTTATATATATGTGTGCGCTTGTGTGAAATTTCTTGAGTATTACTAGTTGAGTAAAGACAGTGTTCTTTTAATTACCCCTCCATGGCTGAGATCTGCATGAATCATTTCCTGCGTTGAGTCTGTGGAGGCCAACTCTTTTTTGTGTGCGCGTGTAAAAATCCAAACTTTATCAAGTCACTTGATGTTGAATTAAATTTTGAAAGTGAGAAATTGATCAGTGATGCATACCCAAATGGCTGAATCCATCAAAACCTCTCATTGTAAACTTTCCTCACTTTGATTTATCTGACCCATTATATTGATTTTGAACAAACAATGAAATTATCTGATTTAGGTAATCGTACATGATTTGCTCCTGTGATTTATCAGTAATGACTTACATAAACTGGTGTGTTTTTTGATACTAGGTAGTGAGAAAACCAGCTCATCACTTCCTTGATGAGCTTGGCGTAGAGTACGATGAGCAGGACAACTATGTGGTGATCAAGCACGCCGCACTCTTCACCTCCACCATCATGAGCAAGATTCTGGCTCGTCCCAACGTGAAGCTCTTCAATGCTGTGGCTGCAGAGGACTTGATAGTCAAGGGAGGCAGAGTAGGCGGTGTGGTGACCAACTGGGCTCTGGTCTCTATGAACCATGACACACAGTCATGTATGGACCCTAATGTAATGGAAGCCAAGGTTGTGGTGAGCTCTTGTGGGCATGATGGACCATTTGGTGCCACTGGTGTCAAGAGGTTGAAAAGCATTGGGATGATCGATAACGTGCCGGGAATGAAAGCTTTGGATATGAACGTAGCTGAGGATGCTATTGTGAGATTGACAAGGGAGATTGTTCCTGGAATGATTGTCACTGGCATGGAGGTTGCTGAGATTGATGGTGCTCCAAGAATGGTAAATTTCTTCTATTATATCCAATTATCGTGTTTGCATTAGCAATTTCTGTGTTACAGCATTAGAATTAGCACATTTCAAGCATTGTAGTTATTGAGAAAATAAATTTCCAAATGCACACAATCACACAAAGTTAAAGAGTAAAATAAGAAAAGATAACAGAATTTAACTTGGTTTAACAAATATGTCAATATCTATGGGAAAGACTCAGAAGAAACTCCACTATGATCAAAATGAAAATATATCACCAATAAAATTGTAGACCCTTATATACATAAATTCTTTAGAATATACCCAAAATATTCTTTAAGATATAAATAGAATAGTAATTTGGCCTTTGACGAATGCTAGTTGCTGGAAATGCAGGGACCAACATTTGGAGCCATGATGATATCAGGACAGAAGGCAGCACATCTTGCATTGAAATCACTTGGATTACCGAATGCAGTGGATGGAACATACGCAGGCGGTCTTCATCCCGAGCTTGTCTTGGCTGCTGGTGAATCAGCTGAGACTGCTGAGGCTTGAAGATAAGAAGTAGGAAGAGATGAAAATCGTCGAATGTAATTGAGAAAGATAAGAATAATAATATTGGTTTGGTGTGATCGAGCAGTGTGGTAGGTTCTGTGAACAGACTTCTTTTGTTTCTTTTCCATGTTGAAGTTTTCTTCATGTGGAGTGGACTGAATCTTTGTTAAAAGTTTTAAGAATGTTATTGTCTTTTTATATTTCTTGTGATGGATAGTGCAGACATGAAACAATGCCCTTCTTGGTGCTTCGACATATATTTATTAGCTGCTTGGGGGTTTGAATGCGAAGCGAATCTGAACCGGATTTAATCAAAAATTAATTCAATCCAGACCCAATTGGACCTTTTATGAAGGGAAGAAGAGAGACTATATATATATATATATATATATATATTATATCATAGTCTGTAAGGTCTTGGTGTTGATGACATGATGTATTGTATTTTGTTGATGGTCTTGCATATGGGAATTAACTTTGTGGGAGATATTTGTGAACTTTTAATTTTAATTTTTTATAAAATATATCTAATATAAAAATAAATATATATTATTTTAAATTTAAAAAATTAAAAAAAAAAATTATTCATGAAATTGAAATGATGCTATTTAGAGTAATTCAAGGCAAATTTTACGCATAAGTTCACAAGTCATGGCGATGTATTGTCCTCAACAATTATTATCTGACTCGGCCACACGTAATTTTCTCATGACTTTTAGTTATCAATAATTAGATATGTCAGAAAAGAGTAATTTTTAGATTTAAAACTCTCTTTACTATGTTAATTGTTGTCCGCACTTTTTACATCTTTAAATATAAACATTCCTATCTAACTTATTCTTTTCCCTCTTGGATGAACACCTAGAGATTTCAAATTTTGATTCGAAATCTAAATTACTAAATTTATATTAAATCAAAGAGATTAAATCTTTAACGGAAGCATATCTTAATATATAATAGAAAAAAAAAATATACACATTCTGTAGTAAATTTTTTAATTTTGAATTCGCATATTTTTTTCTATTTCTTGTGACGGAACATAAAAATTATGTGTGTAATTTATAGATCATAACTGTTTATTTATAGACAAATTATGCCTGTAAATTTTTTATATTTTTAATTTGACCCATTATAAAATTATGATATATATTTGGTCTTTAAAATATAAAAATAAAGTCAATACTTTAATTTGATGGATTAAAATTTAATATATCATTAATTTTATCATATCACTTTTTAATTGATTTTAATTAATTTGATAACTTTTTATGCACAATAATTATAAGTTGATAATAATTGATATGTACTCTTTGATAAAATTAAAAATTTATTTCATTAATGTGTTAATAGAATTATAGTGATAAAATTAAATTTTATCATGTTTTTAACTAAAAATAAATTTTTATGATAGAAATATTTTTAGTTATGATGGGTGAGAAATAAATATATACTTTTATAATTTAAAAATAAAATATCAGACGGGCCAGGTAAACCTTGAAATAATGCGCGGGCAGCTCAGATCCACGACGTCGTTTTACTGCCCACAAGCCCCATAAAACTCTCTCTCTCCGCGCCGGTAAACCTTTGGCGTTAATATCCGACTGTAATTCTCCTAGAAATCGCCTCAACTTCAGCTTGTCGAGGTATGTTGAAGCCTAATCACGAATTCTTAACTTTCATTTTGCTTCCCTAGAGAAATTACAGAATCAAATGAAAAGTCGAATTCTGCTATTTTGTGTTGATCTTGGTTTATGTGAAGTTTACAGTTCTCTTGCTCCCTTATTAACTTCCTATTCCTCATTCAGTTCTAGCTTCTTCTTTTTTCTTTATTTTATTTTTCTCATGCATTTGATATGACGA